TCAGAGTAGTTTTATACCATAAAGAACTTTAGAAATTAACTCCATACTTACAAAGTAGAAGCCAGATTTTTCCAGATCAAACAACCAGTTAGACAGAAGTAGAAACAATACAATAACAAGCCCAGAAATAGTTTCAAAAGAATCCCATAAATAGTCCCACAAAGTCATTCCCTTGGTTTGTAAGGTTTTTTAAGTAAAAATAGCTGTATCACATTGACTGAAATGTTTTAAGAATGCAAAACATAAAAAAATATTTAATGAAGAGAGAAAAGCTTAGTTATTTCTGCTGCTATTCAATTATGAGATTTTTTTCCTTTTTAAAGAGTATAAATCAGAATTAAAACAGAAACAATTACAAGTGATACAGATTTTCACTTAACAAAGTAAAACTAAGTATACTAAGTACACTTAGTATGAATTTCACAGTATTTGTTGTAATATATAGTGTTGTCTTTCAACTAGTTATTCATATTGCCAGTAAAGGCATGTAAAATTGGAAGAAGAAAAAAAAAGAAATGTATAAGAAAGAAAGAAGACAAAAAGAGGAAACAATTGAAAAAAGGAGATGAAACAAATTAAAGTATTAACTGCTTCTTTCTACAGATCAGCAGAAATCCACAGTACAGTTGTCCAAACCATCTGCTTACATACATAGATAAATTTCTTTCCCCACTTCCTCTCCTGTCCTCAACTCAGTAACTTTTTTTTAAAAGAAGTTCATTTCCTTTTCCCAGTGTCTATTGTACCCTTCAGAGTTCATTTTTTCTGTTTCATGTTCTCACACTAAGGAGACAATACAATGTTTGCACATGTGGGTCTGATTCATTTCACTTAAGGAGTATAGTCTCTACTTGCATCCATTTACCGACAAAAGACTCAAATTTATCTTGTTTTATAGCTGAATAATCCTCCATTGTGTAAAAACACCACATCTTCCTTATCCATTCTTCAGTTGATAGGCATGTGGGTTGTTTCCAGGAGTTAGCTATAACAAATTGAGCTGCTTATAAACATGGGTGCACAGATATCACTGTGGTATAAGGTTTTCAGTTCTTCTGGAAAAATACCCAGGAGGGGAATAGCTGGCTTGAATGGGATCTCCAATTCTACTTTTAAAGGAATCTCCACACTGATTTCCATAGTGGTTGTAACAGTCTGCACTCCCACCAACAGTGCAGAAGGCATTTGTTATTGGCTCACTTATTGATGTTAGCCATTCTTTCTGGGGTGAGATGGAATCTCAGTGTTGTTTTAATTTGCATTTCTTGAATGACCAATGATGTTGAACATTTTTTCATATGTCTACTTGTCATTTGTATTTCTTCCTCTGAGAAATGTATATTTATCTCAGATGCCCTTTTTTAGATGGGGTCTTTGAATTGGGGGGGGCTGATTTTTTTTAAATTCTTTGTATGTTCTACATAGAAGACCTTTGTCTGAGGGACACCAGGCTATGACTTTTTCCCAGTTTGTTGGTTTTCTTTTTACTCTGTTGAAGATTTGCTTTGCAAAAACTTTTCAAAAAGATGAGATCCCCGCTGTTGATTCTTTGAAGTTTTTCCCATGCAGTGTGGTTTCTGTTCATGAACTGTGTACCTACCCCTATGTCTTTTAGACTTGAACCTACATTTTCCTCCAGAAGATTTAATGTTTCTGTTTTAATATTTAAATCTTTGATTCATTTTGACTGTAGTTTTGTGCATGATGATAGGCTTAGGTCTAGTTTTAGCCTTCACCATATGGAAAGCTAGTTTTCCAGCATTATTTATTAAAGAGGCTATCTTTCTCCCAGTGAGCATGTTTGACCCCTTTATCAAAGATAGGGTGGGTGAGTGTGTTTGCAGTTGTGTCTGCATCTTCTATTCTGTTTCACTAATCCTTACTCTGTCTCTATGCCCGTACCATGTTGACTTTATCACAGTAGCTTTATAGAATTAGTTTTTTAAAGGATACAGTTAAACTTACAAAAAATCAACACACTATCAGATTACTTTCTAAAATCTCTCAAGGCAGTGGGTATTCAAATTTGCCTGTTTCTAAATATTTAAAATATTTCAATACTTATTTTTAAGCAGGAAAAATGAATACGAACTAACATTAGCCTAATAATAAACATATTCGTTAGTAATGAAACAGTCTCAGAAACCTACTCTTTCTTCTGATCCACAAAACATTAAAACCTTTCCCTCGAAGCTATATTCAAAGAGTCTAAAATTACTCCAAAAGGGCCATGCCGACCAGAGCATACTTTTGTCCACAGGTCTCCCATGAGATACAAAGACCAATTACTTAAGGAAGCCATATTTGCTTTCTCTTAAAAGACACCTGTGCTACTATTACAACTACCTGTATAACTGTGATAAGAGTATATAACAAGTCTTTAAGAAGAATAAAGTCTACAAAAATATGCTTGTCTGCTTGCATTTTCTTTCTCTGACTGAACTCAGAGAATTTTTACATCCACATTCAAATATTCTAAGGCTGCCTGATTTTTTCCCTCAGACTCTTTATTACCCTTTAGTCCTGTACGAAGCTGTGCTATTTTGACTTACATATTTTCTTAATGGACAGAAATAACTAGATATTATTTCCCAAATCTTTTAAGCTCATCTCTCAGGCATTGAGACAATTAATTATAGTATGCCAACTTCACTGGATGAAGACTCAATGCCTAGCAGGCTAGTAAAGCAGGCTCTGAGTGGGTCATGGAGGTGTGGCCTTCGTCCTAGGCATGGTCCCCTTCAGCTCCTCTCTGTCCCTGTTGCTCTGCCCTCCTCCCCTGGTGCCATGTAACTAAGCATCTTCACTCCTCCACACCCTTCTGCCCTGGAAATCTACCTACCGTGTGCCAAGTCTGAAACACTGAGCTACCTTAGACCTTCCCCCCTTTGATCTGTGGGTGTCAGGTACTGTGTCTCACTGACCAGAAAGCTGACTAACACACGGATGCTTCCTGGTTGCTGGGACTTTTACTTGATGTCAGTGTGGAAAGACAAGTTGATAAACAGTATGGCTCTCCCTTCTTATCCCATAACATCCCATGGATAGCCCAGTATCACTTAAACCTGCTGTAAAGAAACAGCCATGAGAATCTGTAGAGACACAGCTCTGAGGCCCTTGCTCTGGTCTTTGGGATTCCACAGCTATGGCACCCTTCTGGTGACTGTTCCCTATGTGTGCTGCATTGATAACAAAAATGGCCCCGACTGTCCATTCCTCTCTCTGACAGTAACCTCTGCAACGTGACTTTCCCATTGCTCTACTGCCTTTCCTTGAATCTAAGCTATTCTTGTAACCTGTTCCAGCAACAGGTGACAAGCCTCCCTGTCCCTTGGAAACCATAAGCCAGGGCCTGCGAACAACCCCAGGCTGGCTGGCTGCAGAACTCACCACCCAGAGGACAGTCAGGCTCACAGACAAGGCCGTCATAGTGCAGCCCGCCTCCAGCTGACGACTGAACACTACAGCTACCCAGCCAATGTCAGTCATTCGGGACCAGCTGGCCCCACACCCTTGAACAAGAATGAATGTTTACTGTTTTAAGCCATAAACTATAAGTTTCAGGCTGGTTGGGTAGTGACTGGTTATGCAGTGATAGACTACTGACACACCACAATTCTAATATTCTTTACCTAAAAAAACCTGATTTCTCTGTCCTTTTTCACCTCTCTTGCCACATTCCTAGTAGCTTTTTTCCAGGAGAAAATAATCTCTTATTCTTCTCTTATTTCTTCTCCAGACTACTGCAGCTTTCTGGGTAGACTCCCAACTAGCTGTTGTCCATGCACACTGCTACTGCTCGGACTGGATTCCTTCAAGTCAGGAGTTATGCTGTCATAATTTATGTATTTTTATAATCCATAGGATTGATACCTCCTAAGTCCTCAGTCCTTATTTGCAGAATGACAGCTGCTGAATTCGTAAAACACAGCTCAGAACACATCACTCTCCTATGAAGAACACTGCAGCATTTCTACCATTCACTAGACCCATTTCCACCTAGCCCATTTAATCCTAGGACTTCTGTGACCATCCTTCTTCCCTGTTTCAATGCTCTGTTCAAAAAGTGAACACACTTATTTCTATATCTCCTGAAACTCAAGATTCCTGCCTAAAAGGTCTAGTCCCAATGCCACCCCTCTAGAAAAATCTGACAGCTCTAACTAACAAAGAGCTCACCCCCTTGTCTGCCTCCAGTGCTTAGCCTGAGCCTTCCCTAAGCACCTGATGCTGGAGTTACTTGTCAAGTACTCCTCTGCCACACAATGTGACCTTTGTTAAGACAGGTTTCATCCTTTCCTCACGTTCCTTTGTATCTAGTACGGTGTCTGAGACAAAGCACAGTAAGACTGTCGTAAATGCATACTGGAGGAATGGGTGTTGTTCAGTCAGTACTAAAACAGCAATAAAAGCAGTAATACACAATCACAAAAGTCAAACCCAAGACAAAAAGACAGAATACATGTGTTGGCTCTCATATATCACTCTGTAAAGGAATCTTCTGGAATGTCTGTTAAAAACACAAATTCCTAGGCTCTGCCTCCAGAGTGACTGGTTCAGCAGAATTCAAACCTGAGTTTGGGTCCTTAGCCCACGTGATTCCGACAAAGATCTGTGGGGGGCTTTTGGGCAACACTTTGATATACAGTGACACAGAACCTGCTTCACAGATATGCATTCCAAAGTAACCCCCTTGTTTCATGCACCTAAGAAATTTTTTATTTTAAGTTTCTTGACTTTAATGTCAAAGCATTGAGTGCAGTAAGCTTATAAAAAGTACTTTAACAATACGTACACAGTCTGGCAACTTGTTAGCTGAGCTTGCTGGGAATATGGCACCACACCCCCTTCTTTGTAGTCACAATCTGCACACATTTTTTTCATCTATATGCTCTTTTTATAAACTATTTAAAGTTTAGTTTGCTACAAATAGCCCTTTTTCAGACGGCCTCATCATATGAGGTGTGCCTTAAAATAACTGAAGGGTGCAAGACTCCTACCTCGGTCCCTGAGGCTGGCTCGCAGCGCTTCCTCTAGCTGCTCTTCTTCACTCAGGCCAGCTGTGTATACATCATAGTTTCTGGGCGCTTGCTCTCTGTACCTTGGGCTGCCATATGGATGATGATCCCAATATCCAGAGTGGCCTATGGACAAAAGAAAAAAATTGCAGACCACAACATTGGACTGCTCTTCCGTTTCAGATTTCTTGATTTGCATATACAAAGACAAGGAAATATGTCATGTCATATTTTGAGTACTCTTCCAAATAAGAAATGCTGACAAATGCAGAATGCTCCCACGAGGGCAGGAAAGGATGGTCTCGTCACTGTTTTCCTCACAATGCCTGACATGGACCCAGAATTGAATGAGACTTTCTGTGCTGTTGGGAAAGGAAGTATTAGGAGGTAGGTAGTCAGAGGTCCTGGAGAAGCATCTGGAAGGGGCTGCCGACATTCAGAGTGACTCTTACAGTTTAAAGGTATTTAGTACTTGGAGGATTTTCTGGGATGTCCTGACTTAAGTCAAAAGAATGGTGCAAAGAGCTGCAAAAGCCTTACTGTCTTGTGGCTCCACATGGTGAGGGGCAGACCAACGCTTACCACATACATACCACAGAATTTCCATGCTGAGCATCACATTTGAGTGCAATTACAAGATTAAAACATACAAGGCAACCTCTCTGTAATTTTAATTCTATGTCAGAGATTGCAACTCTTAGCAATAGCATTTGCAAAAAAAAAAATTGGTTGCTAGATAAAAACCAAACTGGTCATTAAAAATGCTTTAAGTACTCAAACTTAGACCCTCAATTAATAAAAGTAAACAGCAAAGCAAAGTTCATCCATGCAGAGTGTCTCCATCAGTTTTTTCAGTCAGAGTTCACTTTTTATATTTTCTTTTACTGCCAACTGTTTCAGCACTAGTTTGCAGAGATTTTTTGGGTTGTTTTTTTTTTTTCCCTCTGTAGAAGATGACCTAACAGTGGCACAGAGAGAAGCTAGTTTATTTAATTTTTTTCTTCTTTCTTGTCATGATTGTATCTTTTCAAAATGATGTTTCAGGGGCTTAGCTAATGTGCTCTTTCTTAGTGATGACAATTCCTAAACTTTACTGTGACTTTTGCATCATTTATCTTCATACCATTCAATATGGTATAAAATTCCCCTGGGTTATAGCATTAGCAAAACTACATCAAAATAAATAAATAAAATAAAAAAAGTAGAAAAGAACTGCATATAGCAGAACATGGATAACTTAAATTACATATTTGATTTTTTTCATAATTGGTCTTGAGGCTATTTTGAAGCTTACTTATGTAGCAAGTATGAATAAAATGCTTTCCTAATAGTCAAAGATAAAATGCAAATGGTATATCTGCCATAAACTATTTTAACACTCATTGTCATATAAACAATGAAATTACAATAAAACCAACTAGCTTCAGCTGATAGCATAATTATGGGTCTCTATCCAAGGTTGTCACGTATAATATTTGCGTGTATTAACCTGCATGTGTAGGTGTGGTTGGTACTGGGAACTGAACTCAGGACCTTTGTACAGAAACACCTCACCAACCCTTCACAAATTTTTTTATCTTGAGATAGTCTTATAAAGTTGCCCCGGCTGAATTCTTTCTGCCTCAGCCACCTGAGCCCCTGGGATTATAGGCACACTTCACTGTGCCTGGCTCTCCTGGCATTTCTCTGTAGAAGCTTTCTAAAGGTCTAATTGATCGGTATGGGTTTTGTATGTGTCTCTGGAATTCATGAGTTAGAACCTGATCCCCAAAGTCATACGCTGATGTGCTTGGAGGTGGGACCTGACTAAGACGTGGCAAGGCGCTGCCCCTCTGACTGTACTCATGGCTTTATAGGAAGTGGAGATAAGCCCAGAACAGCGTGCTTGTGCTGCTTACCACATGATGCCTGCCCTGCAGCAGATGCCTGGGCAAAGCCAGCACCATGCCCTCAGGCTCCCCAGCCTCCAAAACTGCGGAGGAGATAAGCCTTTACCCTATGAATTACTCGGGTTCCTGTTAGTCACCGGAACAGAAAACAGACCAAGACATGGACAACTGTGCCATTCACCAACTTAAAGTATGCAGCTCAGTGGCTTCAGGATGTCCATCCAGCAGTGCCATGCTCCCCACAATCATCCTTAAATGTTTCATCATCCCCTCAGAAGAAATGGCAGCTCTCAGCCTCACACCCCTCCCCAGCCACCAATCTGACCCTGTCTCTGCAGAGATGCCTGCTCTGAAGAATTTAAACACAATCATCTCAGTGGTACCTGGGTTCACAAACTTAACTCTTTCCATGATTCTGGCCACAAAATGAACCTCATGAGAAGCGAATCAAATTCGACGGTTATGTTCAATGTCCTTCCGGGGAATCTTGATTGAGGTCTTGTTCAATTTAGTCTGTGGCCAGAATCGTGGAAAGAATTAAGTTCGTGAACCTAGGCGCCACTGTAATGCATGGTATTTTGTGTATAGCTCATTTCACTTAGTATGTTTCAAGGCTGATCAATGCTGAGGTGCATCTGTATTTCATTCCTTTTTACAGCCAACTAACACTCCATTGCATGGACAGACCACCTTTTGGTTTTGTTTTGTTTTTCATTTTTTGAGACACGGTCTCACTCTGCAGTTCAGGCTGACCCTGAACATATAGTGACCCTCCTGCCTCAGCTTATCAAGTTCTGAGATCAGAGCTGCACACCACCATGCCCGGCTAGCCCACAATTTAAAATCTGCACATCAGCTGATGAACACTGGAATTTTTTACCCTCTTGAATATTATGAATAATTTTGACGTAAACATTTGTACACAAGCTTACATGTGGATCAATGTTTTCATTTATTGACTATTGACCTAGGAGGGTAACTGCTCAGTCCTGGTGGGAAGGAGGCGTTATCTCAGTGTGTTCTTGATGATTAATGATATTGAATATATTTTGACTTGCTGATGGGCCATTTATATATCTTTGAAGTAATGTGTATTCCAATACTTGGCTCATTTTTACTTTGCAAGCTTGGTTCTATTTTACTTAATATTCTTGAAGTTAAAAAAAAATAGGTTATGTAAAGAAACTGATTTATACAAAATTGCTTATGATTTTGGGCACTAACCCTGGAAAACCTTGTTCTGAATGCAGCAAAAAATTAGTAAGGACTTACTAGATATTTCAAATAACATAGTTTTCATACTTTCTCTCGCTTATTCTTCATGTCAAAATATTAACATTATTTGTATTTTTAAAATGAGATAAACTTTTCCAATTATCAAGCTGGGATCTGGGTATAATTTTAAAAATGGGCGTTCTTCCTCAAATTAGTATGCACCCAATGGAACCACCAGAAAAATACAGCTCTTGAATGATGTGTTGGGGACACCCCCCACTCTGCAACTTCTATATCTTGAAAAGTAAAGGTGACTGTCACAGAGGTATGAATTTTACTCCCTATTCTCCTCACCAAACAACAAAACTTTCATGGGAGAGCAATCAGTCAAACCAAAATTAATCCGACTTCACAAGAAACAAAAGCAAGGGGCAGCGACTCCAAAACACTACTAGAATATTTATGGTTAAGTCACTGAATGCCATGAGGTGCTTCAGAAATCCCTGAATGGAGAGACTGCCCAATTCCCTGAGAACATCAATTATGTTACTGCAGCACAACAAGCATATCTGGTAATTTCCCACAAGGCTCATTATCATTTTCAAGCCCCTGCGGAAAGTCACTCTGTTACAGGAAATCTAAGCGGCGTGTCTACCTGGCCATTCTCCACAACACTCAGCTTTTTCAAAATGCAAATAAACCCAAAGCCTTTGGATATTCATGAAGACAGATGCTATATATATTTTATAGAGTTTTAATTGCAGGTTCATCTGCAGTGATTTTAGACAACCTTTCTTGATACAGAAAAAATTTTTCTTTGTGTTTTTGCTTATTTAAAAAATACCCTGGCAGTGCTTTAATGAAATAAAGATAACGACTCTAAACATCTAAATAATATGAAACTTAATTTGGTACTTGTCACACAAAATGTGGGGAGAAGGAATGAGAAAGTTCTGGCGCCTTAAGTAAAAAGCACTGTGATTAAAAATTGTATATCATCATTCATAAATCATCAACAAGACCAGAAATCCCATCAATAGCTATTAGGATGAGAATAGGGCTCCTGGGACCAAAAATTTTCTACAGCTGTTCTTCTGGCCCAATCAGTTGTTTTTAAATCTTTTCAATAAACAATCCTTGGAAAACCCAACAATCAAACACTGAAGATAAGTTTAAATTATACCCTGTGATGAATACTCATTTCAAGTTCTCTTTTAGCTATATACTACAGGGAAACTATTTTAGCTACATACTTTGGTAGGAAAAGAGACTCTGGTTATCATTATTCTATTAACTACTTCATCTGTTCCTTATACACATACCAGGATTTCATGGCAAAGAAGATCAAGAAACACCACCAAGATTAGAAAAATTGGTAACAGCTTTTTAAACATTCATGAGGCTCTTTGACCTATAAAGGCTTTCCCAGCTACGGCTCGCCATGTTAGGAATGAATCATTACTTGTAAGAGATACATATGCTTTCACAAAAGTTCCCTAGATGACCATTAGCAAGGCCACCTGGCCTTCCATCGCTGCCTTTGAAGAACTCCAACCACTTCAGAGGAAGGAATATAAATATGGTAATCTTACAGAGGATCAGAAGGAAAGTAAAGGCGGCTTGTGTTTTTGCCTGAAGTTCTCTGGTCCATACGTCTGCTAGGCCTCTGCCTCTTCCGTATGAAAAAAGAAAGGAATAGACTTTTCTCTTTTCTTAATAAATGGAGTGCAAAAAAAGGAAAAAAAAGATAAAGGGGAAAAAAAGAACAGAGTAAATGGGACTGTCCTGCTTTGTAAGGTTAAACTGGAGGAGTGCCTACCTCACATCCCTGCACAACACAAAAAGAGAAAGCTAGGAACTAGTGACTCAACTCTGTCTTAGTTGTACCACTAATTACCTGGGTGAACTGAGGCAACTTACCCTGATTTCCTAGCCCTGATGCAAAATGTTAGGACTCAGTAACCCAGGCCAGTAAGCCATGTCTGTGTGCAAGTATGTTCTTGTTATTTTTTCACCCAGAAG